GTTTATATCCAAAATTATGAACCATCACAAATATAAGCATCCAATGAGTATATTAGTATTCAATTTCTATGAAAAATTATACTTTCTCTTTGCTACCGATATGGCCTTGCTTAAAAAGATTTGGTGGTTAGGAATAGGAAATTGAAATAAATGCTATGATAATATGAAAATAGCAACTTAATCCAATATTTATTATAAAAATTGGACCTCATCACAAATAACAGTAATTAACTGAACAATTATTCATCTTTCCCATTATTACCTCATTACACCACACTAGTCATACATAAGTTGGTAAAAGTTCATTTGTAAACTAAGTTTTATAAATCAAAATAAGTTTTATTGGTTGAAATGTAGTTTAGCGTAATTTGTCAAGAGCATGGACTCCGGAGTTAGGCTTCCTGGTTCAAATCAAGGTTTTACCATTTGCTGTAATGGCAATTTTTGGTGTTAGGAACCTCTGGGTCTCAGTTTCCGCATCTATAAAAGGGACTAACAGTATCCTCACAGGGCTGTGGGAGGAGTAAATGAAATGGTATGTGGAAGTACTCAGGAGAATGCCTGGTACACATAAGAGCATTCGCTATTATCAATGGCATTATTAAAGCATCTCCGAAACGATAATATATTAATGTTAGCACTTTTTACCATTAAGAATTTCTTTCCTCCAGTTTCCTGAAAACCTTAAATGCACCAGGGAAACTCAATGTTTGAAGGAACCCTGTGGCAGTTTAATAAACATCTATTACTAATTGGTTCATTTATATATTAGGTCCCTTTAAAGTCAGATTAAGGTTAAGGATAGAACTGGGAATACATTCTTTCACAGCACATAACTTCATAATGTTAAATAACAGTCAAATGATACCATTTCACATATACAACTATGTCCTACTCTAGTGTAGCAATGAATAAATGGTTGTTGCTATTTATCTCAAAAATTCCCAAGAGAAGTGAAGCTTACTGAGAAAATTATTAGTTCAGTATTGGATATACTAAGCTTGAGGTGCTAACAGAATACTTAACGGACATTCAGGAAGCAGTCAAAAGTACAGACCTAAAGTTAGGAAGCTTACACTCAGAAGTTCATCACTCCCTCCTCTGTATTACCATGGAATTTTTCACATCCTATCACATGACAATTTTTAGTCTCCACAACCATTCTCTACTGCTAGGCTATCTTGAAGGCATTTAGGTCCTGCTATATAAGGGCTTAATAATGTTGATTTTTTTAAAAAAAAAATGCAAAACTTGCAGAATAGTACAACTAAGAGAGTGAATTTTATTGTTTATAATAAACTCTGATTTAGAAATTTTTTTTTCAATCTGTGGATTTTAAATAAGGATGAAATTCTCATTTGGAAGTATTCTTATAAAATATAAGTAGCATACAAACAAAATCCTTTTTTTTTTTTTTTTAAATTTGGTCACATGAGAATTACTAAACGCTACCAAGCAGTGAAACCTGACATTATCACCAGGCCTATAAACCTGCAGAAGTACAATATAACAAGGCAAAGAAATTTATAAATGAGTAAAATAAGGAAAAGAAAGTCCAGTGAAGATTCCTTGAAGTGAGTTTAAATTAATTTAAATTCTTAAGAAGTCTGTCAAAATAGCTGCAATGTAGATTGAAAAGATTTCACTTTCTAATTTACAGGCTACTTGAGTTCAATAACTTAAAAATGAAAGGCCTCTGGACCCTTCCAGCACATGTTATTCTAAGAGCTATGATAAGGAGCATGTAGCAAACGAGCTCAGTTACATGTACTAGGTAAGGGAAAGATGCTGTCATCCGCAACCCACCAGCAACTGTCTGACCACCAATCCTTTAGTTTAAAATTTGTAGAAGCGTTTCCTAGAGAATGCTGCAGTTGTAGTATTTCTCACCCAAACTTAAAATGTGGTCAGTCCCATCAAGGCTCTAATAGGAGAACAAACCGGCTGCCAGTTCTATTTTTAATAGCAGATCCTGACAATTCCATTTGTGCCTGACAACTACATGCCTTTCAGTGAAGCCATTCCCTGGAAATGACACTACAATACTGTTACTTATTTAGCGGGCATGGAGCCAAGAAAAACCAGCTCATTAGTGGTGAATGAGTAGGGAAGACAGTAGCCAGAGAATTAAAAAACAGCAATATACCACACAAAAAGGCTTAGAAGAACTGTGAAAATGCAGGAGAAAAAAAGTAGAGATCCACAGAATGAAATTCCTATAACACAAAATTAACACAGAGACTTAAGTCTGCACTTGCTCATTTAAAATCACATAAGCAAGGATCAAATGCATATTGATTCTAATTTTACATAAAAGCCTGAAAACCTCATGCCAATAGAAAATATTGGTAAATAAAAAAAGGACTCCCCTAATCTTGGCCCTATTTTCCTGTTCTATGAAGCAATTCATAAGAAGAAAAAATAACTTCAGACTATAAATGATGAATGTATAACTATTAGGAGTGGCCTCTCTATGAGGTCTGAAATAGAAGGAAAATGTACATTTCTTCCAAAGCTGTGGCCAACAATAACTTTCGCATTCTGAATCTAGCTTAAGCACATTAGTTGGGAAGATGTTTGAAAAAGTATTTCATAAGAAAGTGCTGAATTTAGCTTTTATTTTTTTCTGTTTTCTTAAGTGGCCTGCAGTCTATCCAATGCGCTAAGTAGAACCTCTCCTAAGTATAAATGACAAAAGGAAATACAGCTTTCTTCTTACAGAGAACTGTTTCTATAGATCAGGGGTCATCAAACTTTCTGTAAAGGGCCATATAGTAAATATTTTCAGCTTTACAGGCCATATGGTGTCAGTCACAAATACTCAACTCTGCCATGTAGCATGAAAGCAGCAATAGATAACAGATAAATAATGAGTGTGACTGTGGTCCAATAAAATCTTATTTTCAGAAACAAGCAGCCAGTCTATGGCCACAGTTTGCTGACCTCTGCTATAAAGCATGTTTTTTTACCTACTAATAAATACGTTGTTTTAATAAATAACACCAAATTTGAAATATGATCTCTGGGGTTTGCTTTAAAATATTTCATTAAAAAAAAAGTGAAGAGCAGAGAGAAAGGTTAAAGAAGACTGGCAAGGGGCTTCCCTGGTGGCACAGTGGTTAAGAATCCGCCTGCCAATGCAGGGGACACAGGTTCGAGCCCTGGTCCAGGACGATCCCACATGCCACAGGGCAACTAAGCCCATGCACCGCAACTACTGAGCCTGTGCTCTAGAGCCCGCGGGCCACAACTACTGAAGCTCGCTCACCACAACTACTGAAGCCTGTGCACCTAGAGCCCGTGCTCCCAACAAGAGAAGCCACCGCAATGAGAAGCCCACACACTGCTACGAAGAGTAGTCCCTGCTCGACGCAACTTGAGAAAGCCCGCACGCAGCAACGACGACCCAGCGCAGCCAAAAATAAAATAAAATAAAGTAAATAAATTAAAAAAAAAAAAAAGACTGGCAAAACACAATTAGCGTTAGTCTGATGATGGATGCATGGAGTTCATTATACTATTACAATAATTTTATGAGTTTGGAATTTTCGAAATTAAAAGTTTTTAAAAATACAAGGTAGATCAATGAATTGGCTCTACAGGAAAATTCATTTCCTCACTTTACTACAAACATTCTAAAACATATCTAGTATTTTTAAACATAATCAACATAGTACAACATAAAAGTTTAACATAAAGCTACTAAACCATAGCTAAAAAATTTAAACGTACAAAAGTGTATACAAGCATAAACCCTTAACATTTTCCATAATTTAACAGACAGCCTCACCTCATACAACTCCTAAATTAACACATTTTATTAGTCTCATCTTAGCTAACAAAATGTGTTACCAATTTTTGGTTTTAGAATATAATTATTTTATAGGGTATATATCACTTAACATATCATAGGTTTATTATTTTTTCAAATAAATTAGTAAATAATTTTTATTTCTCAGTTTTAAACTCTAAGCAATAAATATGAATAGAAACAATTCACATAAACAAACGCTGTTTAAGGTCTTCAATAATTAAGAGTATAAAGGGATCCTGAGGCCAAAGTTTGAGAACCTGTGACCTGAACGTTTCTGATGCTGTTTAAAGTATGTTTACCAAGCAACCATTAGATACATGCTCAAACTCATTTTTCCTTTGAACAATAATCATCACAAAGTGGAGTTAATCCACTATGAAGGCTATCAATATACACCCATTTAAACCTTCAACAGAAACATTCTTTTAAAATTGCTGGGTATGTCATGAATAATGTATCCATAGGAAGAGAAGAGCTCTAATGTGTTGTCCCCCTTATGCAGAAAATTGTCTCCTGGACCAATAATAAAGAAAAACTAATATGCACCAGCAGACATTTCTAATAAATATGCTACCTCTCATCAAATCAAGATATGCAGTCTCACTCAATGAAAGCCAGAAATCAAGCTGAAAAGAGCTTTAGCAAAGAAATGTTAATGACTATGCAATTTCTCAAAAACTAAAGAAATGTGTTTTTTAAATGTCCTAAGTTTTTTCTCAAGTTCTGAAACACAGTGATTTCAAATATTATCAAAACTGAAAACTACATTAGGCTCACAGAATTATTATGACTGACACTTGAGAAAAACTGAGAACTCTGTGAAAATATTTCCAACTATCCAAGAATATAATCAATGTCAAAATTTTCTAAATCTAAAACTAAAATAGCAATAAGCAATCCATAACACAGATTTGGGCAGATAATAATCAGAGCACAAATGTCTGCATGAGTATTCATTCTTTTATGAAGATGAACCAATACTTACTTTTTGAATACAGTATCACTGCAGCATTTTTAACCAATTGTCCCTTCCGTATATGGCTATTTAAAATGTTATCAGACTATTTCATTTTTACTTAAGTACAAATTTCCAAGTTAAGTTTTATAAATCTCATTATTTCTATTGTCTTTTATCAACATGAATAAACTTAAAATAGTAATAACTGAGATACAGAGCCATACTTACATCATACTCTGCAATTCTGCTGCAAAGCTTACAGACTTCCCTGTACTTCTTCCACTACTTGAAGTGGCAGTAGACACTGGGCTGGCTGCAGTGTTATTCATCTAAATAAAAAAGAGGACTCAGCTTACAAAAATGTATTTAGCTATAAGTAAATGCATGGAAAACGGAAGCAATTATAAGTTACTTCAAAAAGTATAGAAATTCTGATTTGTTTTACGTAAATCTGATTTGTCCATACTTGTTCTTCATTAAAATGAAATAGTAAGGTAGAAAACTGCTTAGTCAAATATGATGTAAAAAAATTACTCACTTGGGTGATAAACTTTTCATTACATATTTTGTAATAGGTATTGGAAGAAAAATACTCATTAAAATATTTTAATAAAGTTCAGTGGTTTTCAAAATCCATTCCATGGAGCCCAAAGATTCCCCAGCGATATTTCAGTGAGCTCCCAGTGGCCCCCAAGCAGTTCCATCCAGAACACAAGAACTGTGATTTTTCTATTTCATATATTGGGGTTCCAAGTAAGATTTCATTTAAAGAAAGAGCTGCACAGTTGTAAGATACAAAATTAGAAAACCAAAACATAATCTAATTCCCATTTGAACCATAGCCTAAAATACAAATAAAGCCAATCAGTAGATCAGAAGTAAGCACTGTGATATTTTATAATCTTATGGTTAAATTACTCATCAATTTAAAATGTGACTTTTAAAAAAATAAAAAATAAAATGTGACTTTTTTCCCAATAAAATTAAGCTGGCGCATAATGGGAAAACTAGATGCTAATCCTAATATACGTCATTTTATTTATTACATGTGGCAGTCCCACAAACAAGAACTAGTGAAAATAACATTAAGGTAATAGAAGTAGATAAAAGCCTCAGGCTTTTACCTCAAGGACACAGTAAGTGCTCAATAAGTTAGTTATTATTTCATGTTTATATAAATTTTGTAATACTACGATTTTCTTTAAAAAATACTTTGCTGATTAAAGAAGAATTAACAGATTTAAAATATATAATAAAGTAAAGCAGTGCTGAGAACTTTAAGTACAGTAAAATAATTAGGAGTCAGAAGTCAGACTGCCTAGGTTAGAATCCCAGCTCTACTACTTTACTAGGGCTCGGGGCAAGTTCCTTAACGTCTCTGTGCCTCAGTTTCCTCATCTGTAAAACAGGAATGATAGTCGCACACTCTTAGGGTTGTTGTGAGGATTAAATGAACTAACATAAACAAAGCATTCAGAATAGTTCTTAGCACACAGTCAGTACACAATGTTAACTATTATAAACAGAAAGAACTCAAGAATTTTCCCTTTCTTGGTCTGCTAAAAGCTTTTATGTGACAAATTTTATTATCCTTATTTCATAATCACAAACTTTAAGAAACTTGAATATTTTCACTTCAAGACCTCAATACAATTCAACAAATATTAATTAGTTTCCCTATAAAATAAGTTCTGTTTTCACACTGACATCACTACTGCTACTAGTCAGCCTGGCTTAAAACGTCAGTCATCATCTTTGACTCCTTCTCCTGCACCCTATAATTTTTAAGAAGCCAAATAAATTCTACTTTATGTTTTTACCGCCTCCCTTTCTTGTTGAGCTCTATTTATAGCTTCTCTCTTTGCAGCTCAGTTCATTCTCCACACTGCTATCAAACTTATCTTCTTAATACATCCTCTAAACTGACCACTTCTGTGGGCAATGGAGGCTTAAAATTGATAAAGGAAACTTGAACCAGGGTCATTCACTGATGGCTGAGATGGAAAGGCTGGGTCCCATGAATGAAAGCTGAAAAAATTAACTACTACAAACCACTGCCTGAGATGGGCCACATATGAAGCTTTTGAGAAGGCAAAAGGACAGAGACCTAAGACAAGCAGCACACTAGCTGGGTGGCTAGATCTGGAATGTCCCAATATCATTCTGTGGCAGGACCAACTCTCTGCCAATATAAGCCCTGGTCTAACCTAAGGTCCCTAGGAGCCAGGCGAAAACCACTAGACAGAGGCTGCAAAAGCAGAGAAAGAAAAGGAAGAAAGTTTCACTCAAACTGAACCTGAAAACCAAAGTTCTAAAACACATAAAGAAGCTAGTGCTATGAAAGACCATCGGTCTTTTTAAGCGTAAATTTGTCCTATTTGTTCACAAAGACTTTTTTGGAGTAAGTACTTTTTTTCTACAAATAATAGAGGAAAAGAAGCAACACCATTTTGAACTCAGGTTAAAAAAAAAAAAATCACATCATCAGTCCAAGATTGGGGGATTGGGGAATAATAAAACAGGAAAGCAAGTTCAAAAAGGAACTTGGCTTTCCAGTGACCTTAGAAAATGGTTCACTTGTCCCAAGAGAAGACTGACAGAGATATGACATCCTGGAGAAGATGTTAAACTCAAAGATTATGTATTAACCTCAGTCTATGATTTAAGTTGACTCATGTCAGATTTGAAGGCATGCCATTCTTGGGATTATCCTGAGACACTGCTGGAGTTATTGCTCTCTTTCATTCTGCAAATCCAGTCACCTTGCTTTAACACTCTCTGAAGAAGAGACATTTCAGAAAGTAAATGCATACTAAAACCCCAGCTTTCTTAGATTGTGCCCCTACTGCAAATGTTTCGTATCAAGAGTGTTTATTGGTAAGAGTGAAAAGATCCCAATCCTAGTTTATTATAACCACGATCATCCTTTCACAGTCAAGTTATTTACTTCTTAAATCAAACAGGTGAATAACATTTTTCTTGACATCATGAGCTGACAGTGCATTAGAATCTTTAAAATAATTATTTCCTGTGCACACATTTTGTTTGATGTTTTAGATAATTAACTTCTTTAGACATTAACTTCTTTACACATCAAAGTCCTATCATTCCAATGCTTTATTTCCTATCTCCCGGACATTTAAAAAAAAAATGTCGCTTAAAAGCAGAAGCACTCAAGTCAATTTTCTCTAATAAATACAGTTAACATGGAACTGAAAACCTACTGTAATCTTCTCAATGGGTTAATGTCCTGCAGTTGTTTTAGCTTTCAATTGAAATGCAGCTGTTTGCCATATTTTACAAAATGAATTCAGATGTGCAGATGGAGACCCAGATTATTTCAACATGCCACAGTTTAAATGTGAACTCAAGGAATAAGTTCATCTCTGATTAATACTTATATTTAAACCTGATTATTAAGCCAGTAGCCAATACTATGTCACACCTGTAAAATTCTGTTCCAGAGTAGAAAAACTGACATCTTTTAATAACAATAATGAAATTTAAGGATATACCCCTTTTCTCAGAAAATACCAGGACAAAAAAATTTTAACTGTAGTAAAGTTATACATCACAAATGTGAATTAAACAAAAATGTAATGAACATGTTACTGCATTTCTATTTATAGCTCTTTTTTTTTTTTTTGCGGTACGCTGGCCTGTCACTGCTGTGGCCTCTCCCGTCGTGGAGCACAGGCTCCAGGCGCGCAGGCTGAGCGGCCATGGCTCACGGGCCCAGCCGCTCCGCGGCATGTGGGATCTTCCCGGACCGGGGCACGAACCCGCGTCCCCTGCATCGGAAGGCGGACTCTCAACCACTGCGCCACCAGGGAAGCCCTATAGCTCATATTTTTAGTGACTAAATGACCAAAGAAGAAATACCATGAAACATCTTCAGCTTAAAATACCTCAGAGTTGAAAACGTTATTACTAGTTACAACACCCTCAAAACAGGGTCAAAAATCTGGATTGTGAAATCCATCAGTCTACCCATTTACTAAAAGACAGTGGAATTTTTAAATTGTTTCACTCCCGAGAAATATTAATTCAGCAGACCTATGTACTGATTCTGCGCATCTACAGAGTCTCAATTTCAATCACTCATAATCTGAGCATCCCACATAATATAAATTAATAGAAAACTATTATAACCAGAACATTTTCATTTTCATAGAACTCCAAGGGCAGGAAGCGATTATGGTCAAGCCAACAATTAGACAGTACATTTTAGTTTTGTTGTTAAAAAAAAAACAAAAAAAAACTCAAGTTACATCATGATCTAAATTTCTCCTGCTGTGCAAAAGTAATACCAAACGATCATTCAATCACTGAGAATGCAAAAAATGAAAAAACAAATTAAAATCTGCAAAATTTTAAAACTTCTATACCTAGTTTTGGTATAACACAATAATTCCAATATATTTATATATGCCCCAATTCAAGTTAATCAACATAGTAGAACCTGGTAATAACGATCAACTAATCTCTCAAGTTCAGTTTCTCCATCCATCAAGAATAGTTTCTACCTGTCTCAGAGGAGTGTTTTAAAGAAGACAGTGGCTGCAACATAATGTGCACTCAAAAAATATACGTGAATTGAAAACATCAAGACATCTGTAAATTATGAAAATTCCCTATAGACAGACGGATTGTAAACTGAGTTTACTTATCTCAGTTGTCTACATGAGCGATTATTTTTTTAAACCTATAGACATAGAAGCCGTGACACACTGCTCAGAGACACGTGAAGTTCTATTATTATATTTTTCTTCTTTAGACTGATATTAATGTAGGTTTCTACTCCATATGCTTTCATATCCAGTACGCTCAAAGAAATACTGAGTTTCAAAAAAAATTTTATTCTTTGCAAAAATGGTTCTTAAAGTGCACTGCCAACATGCCTATCAGATCATCCTAAAATACGTGACATCCAAACCCTGAAAAAATGGCAAGCTTACTTTTCCAATATTGAAAACACTGTTGTTTTTACATAAAATATTATATAATTGAGTGACAATGGTTAACGTTCCAGATATATGCAAAAATTTGGAATCAATTATACTTCTAATAGTAAGAAGTAAGTGTATTTGACAAGGATGTCAAAAAAGGAGCTCTCTTAAACATCAAGATTCTCTCTTCCAGTCTAGATTCACATTTTAGAAATATTAAACCTTATGAGAAGTCCATATTAAATATAAACAACTCAATAAAAGATCTCATGTGGTTAAAAACACAGTTCATGTGACTAAAAAGGAGTGGGAGATTTACTGGAGGCATGTAAAAAAGAAGTGAATTTTTTTTTTTTTTTTTTTTGCGGTACGCGGGGCTC